CAGAATTGAAATCATAATGATAGCATTGTAATTCCAATGGCTACTTTATTAGGTCTTTTAGTGAAAACATCGAATTTTAAAGATGAAAAAAGCATCTTGCCGAGGTTCACAATGCTTATAAGTCTCAAATGTACTTTCAAGTCAGTTTTTAAAAAATGGGACCTCAAAACCGATCCTCTCCCATTATTTCTTATATTGATAAATGAAACAACCACCATGGAGTTGCAGAAGTCAGAGAGCTAGAAGTAGTCATCTTTCATATTTCCATTATCCTTACCATTTACTTCCTTATCTAACCCAATCTAAAGTTCACTTTTGTCTCTTTCTCTCTAGTCTATAGCTGCCATAATACTTAAATTACCATAATTTCATCCCTGGAGTAAATCTAACTGACCTTCCTAACTACTCTCTTTATCCACACTAATTATCCTCCACACGATAGTCAGTGATTCTTTTTTTTAAACCACAAATCTGACCATGCTTTTCAGCGGCTTCTTTCTGTGTTGACCATTACAGTCCTGCATGATCATCCAGCTGGTGCTTACTCTCTAGTTTGGTCTCTGAACTTCTTCCTTTCACTCTGCAGCCTAGCTACATTAGCTTGCTCTACACATTCAGAAGCTACAAATAAAAACAAAATGAGCAAAGGGTGTTTGAATTGTTAAAAATTATTTGGCAATTAAAAAATCAAGTGTATGTCAACTTTTCAACACACTAGAGATCATTTCCAAAACTTCCCATGCTATTTTTAAATTTTTAAATCTTTCCATTTTAAACTCTAACCCATGTTTTTATTTTTGTTATTGTTTGTTTCTTTCTGTTTCACCTTACAGAATTTATAAAACTATTGCTCCAGACACACTATTTTTTTCACTCTTTTTCATTCTTCAAATAATTTGATGTAACGCAAATAAAACAGTAAATATTTATAAATTAGCCTAGGAATTGAGCATTGCTGTAAAATATCCATTTGAAAAAAATAATTTTTTCTATGTGAACTTGCCAATATTTGTTATTTGCATGAGAAAAAACTTACATATAAAACTAAATTCCCTTCCTTAGAATTTAATTCTAGTTCCTAAGAAGCTTTTAAGGCTTTTCATGAAGATTATTTACTCTTCCTTGTTATGATGACTCTAATTAAGTTTCCTGTAGAGATATTATGCATTTCAAAATAAAATTATGTGCATAATAGTTACTTAAATTACCATATTTTAAAAGACAGAGTAAAATATTTGGTGAGAGAAGGTCCCAGAAATACGGAGTTTCCAACAGAGATCCTTAATATGTTATCTACTCACGTTGTTCTAGAAAAGTATTTGTGTATTTCATTGTAACCATCAAAAAGTAATCAGTCATAAAATTAAAAATTAAATAATAGGCCATAAAGGATTAAAAGTAAAGTACCCAGAAGCATTTTGTTGGCCCCTCAATGCAAAGTGTGAAGCAGTTTGGAGGGGGCTTTAAGCAAAAGAGTAACATATGGTGTGGATACTATTTGTTTCCTGAAAGGGCTTTCCTGAAGGTGACCCTCCTAAAAAGTGAGTCTTCTCTTAGTTAACTTAATGACATATTCTGAAGTAGCTTCTTTCTCTCATGTACAGGGTTAAAACTCTCAAAAATTATTCTAAAAGTATGCATTATAAAGTAATTCAAAAATAAAATTATGTGCACAGTTATTTAAATTATTATATTTTAAAAGACAAAGTAGTTTAGTGAGAGAAGGTTTTCAAAATATGGAGAGTTTTTGCCAGAGCTTCTTGATACATCATCAATTCCCCAGGAGGGTGTGAAACCCAAGCGAGATATGCTCAGTAACGTTTAGTCATGATCACGATGTCTAGTAGGCACGTGGCAGCAAGATGTGCACATGGAGAAGATCATAATGGTATTTTCAAAATCCCATTCATTTGTTCACTCATTCATATCTTGGTCATTCAACAAACAATTTCGTGTCGAGTATGTGCCTGTGTGGTATCTGTACTACTTCTACTAATTAACATTTATTGAAAAGTTTTCTGTGTGGCAGCTGCTGTGTAAGAAGTCTCCTGGATTATTTTATATAATGCTCAAAATAATCCAGCCACATATGTACTATTATTATAAATAAGAACATTAATATGCAGAGAATTTAAATAATTTGCATATTGGCTAACAAGGTTTAAACAGAGGCAATTTGACTCTTGAAACTTCTGTCATTAAGATACTCTTCTTCCTTTCCTCACAATGCCCATGCACAAAAGAGAACTATGAACAAAATGTAATAATGCCATAAGTTCTATAAAAAATATATGTTTATGGACAATAGGTCTGAAAGAGGGCATTGGTTAAGGCTTTATGAAAGAGATTCTGTTTAACGAATTTTCAAGGACATCAGAGTTCACCAGAAGGACAAGAGAGATGATACTGTAAATGAAAGCAACGGCATATGAAAAAGAGAAGAAAGCTGAGTTAACACAATGTTTTTGAGTAATGCTAGTAACTGTTTTTAGGAAACCAAGAAATGTTAGGAGATGAAGGAAGAAGAGTAGAAAAATACCTGGTATGCTATATAAAAAAAGGTGAAGGGGAATATAGTCAGTAATATTGTGATCAGTTTACACGGCGACAGATGATTACTAGAATGAATGGGGTGATCTCACTGCAAGATATGAAAATGTCAAGTAACTATATTTAAACCTGAGACTAACATAATATTGTACACTAACTATGCTTAAATTTTTTAAAAAATTTAAAAAGTAAATCATAGGCATTTGAAAAGTAGATAAAGGCTACACATATATAGACAAAGAATAAGATTTTAATTTAAATGGAAGTCGTTTGTAAGATGGACTAAGAGTAGTGCACCTGGGGTCGGTGAGATCAGTTAGGAGACTGATAGAATTGTCTAAGAAAGGCATAATTGGGTTCTGAAATACAGTGGTTACAGGGAAGGGCCAGATATGAGAGATAGTTAGACGCAGACTCAAAATCATTTACTTATTACATGTAATGAATGAGCAAGATGAAGGAGTCTAAACTGGTTGTTGGGCCCCTGGCATGCACAACAGAATAGATGGTGATTCCTGTTCACCAAAATGGGGAACACAAAACAGGAAGAAATTTCAATAGAAAGATAATGAGATTCAGAGCTGCGACTAAAAGGTCCGTGGAACATCACAAGAAACAACAGAAACATAGAATTTGGAGCTCTTGGATATATTAGGTGTCATTTTTAACATAGGCTGATGTTAAAGCTTTGATGTAGGTAGAAGAGAAAGCTGAATACTTAAAAGAAAAAAATTAAAAAATGGTTTAAGATGTAACCCTTTGAAAAATATTTTAATAAAATTAAGTAGGTATTGACCAATACTCAGTATATCATTATATTGGGGCAAAGGCTAATATGGGCTACTTCTTTTGGGTCTGTGTGAATTAGGATGATTGTAGCTGGTAAAATAAATAAATTGCTAGATTTTACTAGCTTAGCAGTATGTTTATTTCTCACTTGACAAAAATGGCCTTTAGCATTACTAAGCTTTAGATAGGCTTCTTCAAGACTCTCAATTCCTGACCTAACTTCCTCCAGTATTTTTCCACCAAGCTCACCTCGGCCCTTAAAAACCTTCCCTTGGTGCAGCTGAATTCAATCTCTCTTCTTTATTGCAATAGCCTTGGATAAAGTGTCCCTTGACTTTTTAACTCTGGTGAAATTTTCTTTGACACACTCATGTAACAGTACTCTGAGGTGAACCTATTGGCAGAAGAGTATTCTTCCTTCTCTCAAGACCTAGGATGGCAAAGCCTCAGACATTTTTAACATATAACTTCCTAGATTGCCTTGGTGGGCAGTTCTATCTCAGCTGTCAAGAAACAGAGCAGAGAGGACCATTCTGTGTGTCGACCACAGCATGGAAGTTATTTAAATACTCACTTGTCCATACCTAACTGCACAAGAGGCTGTGAAATGAAGTCCCTCAGTTGCAGCTATTTTCTTCATACAACTCTATGTAACAAATAGGGTAACAGTGCTTAAAGGTGACCAGCTAGCCATTTCTGTCATACCAGCTAAGACAGTCATAATGCCTCCCAGTTTAGAATATGCTTTTATATACATTACTTAATTTGATTCTTTTAATAATCTTATAGCATGAAATTGCTGGTTTCTCTCTTATGTCAGTTTTGCAGATGAGGAAAACAATCATGAAACATAAGACTTGAAAAACAGAGATACAGGTAGTGGAAGAGATGAAATTCAAATTAAAATATTTAAGTTCCAAGTTAGGAACTACTTCCATGATACATATATTGAATTA